TGATTTTATTTTGAAGTATATGTTATTGTAATAGGACCACTTGTAAGCAATCTTTTGCCAAAACAAAAGATTCATCGGTTAAAGATCACATTGGTCTTTCTTTCATTGGTATCAAAGCATAGTTACTTGATTGCCATTAGGAAGTCTTTTCTAATTTTTGCTTGTGAATAAAAGATATGGCTGCTCGTACCTTCATCTCTGACATCCTAAACAGCGAAAGGTTTTATGGGACCAATTATGCCCCTTGGAGAAGAAAGATTCGATGTGTTCTTTATGAGGAAAACTGCATGAGATGCCCTATGAGTGTCGTCCTCAACGTCCAGATGATGACTCATCTCAAGCAATCAAAGATGAATGTGCCACTTGGAAGAGGAGGAACTTGAGATGTAAGAACATTCTTTTGTACGCCATGACCGACTCGTATGCTTCTGAGTATGAGTTAATTTATACTGCAAGTGGAATCTTTGATAGACTTGAGAGAGAGTATGATGATCCCTCTCTCATAAAGCAAGTCATGGCTACGAAAAAGTATAATGAATAAAGATGGCAGAGGGTATCAAGTTCACGGATCATGTGCACATCTTTCGTGCACTAGTCAGAAAAATGGATGACACTGGCATGAAACCCACTGAACCTATGCAAGTGATTCATCTCATGAATTCACTTCCTAACTCATGGGAAACTTTTGTGTCCTCACTCTCGGCCAGAAGGAAAGCACCAAAGCTGGATGAGCTTATCACAACAATCAAAAGAGAAGAAGAAAGGAAAAACTCGAAGCACGCACTGACACTAACTTCAAAGAAAGCCGTACACATGGTAAAATCTCCTCCCTCTTTTAAACTTAAGAAAGCAAAAGATAGAATTAATTTTGGAAATAGGGGAGACTTCAAAAGGAGAGATTTTGGAAACAAAAGAGGAAAGAGAGAGACCATGACTTGTTTTATTTGCAAGAAGATGGGCCACATAACCAAGAATTGTCGGTCCAACAAATTTGGAGGGACCAACAAAGAACTGGCTTGTGTGGTCTTTGAGACGTTGCTAGCCGACCCCAAGGGAGCTTCTTGGTGTCTTAACTCAGGAGCTATGGCTCATGTCACAAACACCAAAAAAGGCTTTCGTTCTTTTACTCCCATGGGGCCTGGAAAGCAACATACCTACATGAGAGGTAATCAGAAAACTGATGGACTTGAAGGTGGAGATTTTGAGCTAAAGTTGAAGAGTTTCTTGATCCTAAAGCAAGCACTTTATGCTCCTGATATGAGGAAGTGCTTGGTTTCGGATCCCAAGATGTCTATGGTTGGATTCATGATCACTTTCATTAGGGAGAAGGTGGTGGTCAAGAAGGGGAATAATGTTGTCATGACTGGACGTCTTATAGATGGATATTTGCTATTGAAATAAAACAGAACGTTGTTTATGTCTCGTCCCCTAATAAATTAGATGCCACCCTATGGCATATGAGGTTAGGACACATTAATTTTGAAAGAATGGAAAGATTGAAAAGGGACGACATTTTTCAAAATTATAAAGGAGATTTATCGAAAGTGTGTGAGTCTTGTATGTAAACAAAATTAACAAGTAAAAATACCACCAAGGCAAAAAGAGCTACTAGCGTTTTAGAAATCATTCATAGTGACATATGTGAACATATGAATGCGGCTACCAAAAGCGATAAGAGATATTACATCACTTTTATGGATGACCACTTGCGATATGGCCATGTATATCTTATTCACACAAATCTGAAGCCCTAAAAAAATTCAAAGAATATAAAACCAAGGTAGATAATCAAACCAACTTGAAAATCAAAGTCCTTAGAACCTATAGAGTGGGGGAATATTCATCTGAACTTTTCAAAGAACTTTGTGTTGATAACGGAATCATCCGTCAGTACACCATGCCATAGACTCCCGAACAAAATGGTATAGACGAGAGACTGAATTGGACATTGGTTGAAATGATAAAGAGTATGATGGGGCATGCTAGTCTTTCCCTAGACTTTTGGGGAGAAGTTGTGTTGACGACATATTATATTCTTAATCGGACTCCCACAAAAGCTGCCCCACTTACTCCTCACGTAATATTCACAGGTCGTGCTCTCTCCCTTGACCACCTAAAAGTTTGGGGATTCTCAGCCCATGTTCTCATCCCGCACCAAAATAGGACCAAACTTCAACCCAAAATTGTTAAAACCATTTTCATTGGCTACCCAGACCATGGTAAGGGGTATCGATTCTACAGCCTTGAAACAGGAGCGATTATTGAGAGCCACGATGCTCACTTCTTCGAGAAAGAAATCCTTGAAGCAAGATTGAGACAGAAACAAGCTGACTTCTTTGAGGAGGCAAGAAACAAGGTTGTGCTTTGAGAACCCAAACCTGAAACTTCCAATAAACCTAAGCTTGAAACCACCCTCTAAACAAAATGGACCTGAACCCGAACCAAGACGAAGTAACCGAATCAGTAGACCTCCTCTATACCTAGAACAATTTGTCTACCTGGGGAAACATTTTGATAGAGTTGGGGAAGATCCAAATTCTAAACCTAAAACTTTCCGTGAAGCCTTGTTCTGTCCTGAAAAAGAACACTGGGTAGAAGCCATAAAAGATGAATATGCTTACATTAACCAAAACCATGTATGGGAATTAGTACCTCTACCTCGAAAATGTAAGGCCATTGGTTGTAAGTGGATTTTCAAAAAAAAGTTGAACTCAAAAAACAAAATAGACAAATACAAAACTAGGCTAGTTGCAAAGGGTTTTACCCAAAAAGAGGGGATAGATTATAAGGAGACCTTTTCCCCTGTTGTCAAATTCCCATCTATCCGAATCCTTATAGCCATAGCGGCCCATTTTGATTTTGAGGTTCATCAGATGGATGTCAAAACAGCCTTTCTAAATGTTGATTTAAAAGAAGAAATTTACATGACCCAAAACTGTTAAAACCATGTTCATTGGCTACCCAGACCATGGTAAGGGGTATCGATTCTACAGCCTTGAAACAAGAGCCGATAGCCTCTACCCATAGGGCGATCAAACTAAACTTTGATTATAGTTTAAAGCAAAATGCGAGGGAGGGAGGCAAGCATAAAAGGAACCTTAAGGAAACTACCAACGAGTAATACTTCTCACCAACTTGGGGTCTATAGCTTTTACTAATGCCGCTCAGACGAGACACAACCCTACTTGCCGATCTCCAACTGTTTGAGAGAAATTGGGGCCCCGATATCATCACTGAAGGTGAATTTGAGAACATTATCAATTGGGTCAAAGAGCTCTTCCGTTTCCCATGGAAATTAAATCCACTTTTCAATCAATTTTTTTAACTATTCCGAGCTTTACATGTATCGTTTAGCCACACCTAGAGAGAAACCAAATCTGTAGCTCACATTCTAGATCAACACCTGGTCTAAAATATACCCTCCCACACTTTTTTTGTAACCCTTAAACACCAAACAAGATGTATATTTCTATTAATTAATACAAACATTACTTATCAAAAAAAAATTGAAGATTTCAGGATGGACAGTTCACCAGGTAAGTAGTGGCAAATCAATTACCGTCATCTTATGAAAACATTGTGCTTTGATTTAGTTGACCATGAGTTGATAGAAAGAAGCAAGCATAAGTATTGGGGACATACAGTAAAATAGGTAAAAATAACAGAGATCAGAGAGAG